CTACATGCTAACAAATAATATCTTCTAATGACATTTCTTACTGAAAAACTACCTTACTAATTAAGAATACATTTGGTCCAATTACATGGAAGAAAGCAGCTGATAAGCCCCTTTAAAGCCACCAAACCAAATTTTGCTCTGTGAAGTGGCTCTATATGCAACAGGGCCACTTCACAGAGCAAAATTTCTAATAGCAAAAATGCCAAAGCTTGTTAGCTCATGTCTCTGACCAAGAACCACTATACACTACACTGCTGCTTCTTTACTTTTGGATTTCAGCAGTTTATTTTTTAGCATGCTTTTATTCGGCTTTATCCTGTGTTTCAGTTTACTAAGAGTCTTAAATCTATAAATTTATGTCTTTATCCAATGTTGGAAAGTTTTTGGCCATTATTAGGTCACATAACTTTTCTGTGCCAATCTCTTTCTCCTCTCCTCCTGGACTCTAATGATATAAATGTCAAACTGCAGATATTGTCCCTCGGGTCTCTGAGCCTCTGTTTGTTATTGCTGTTGTTGTTTTTTCCCAATCTTTTTTCTCTGTTCTTCTGTTTGGATAATTTCTATTGGTCTATCTTCAAGTTAATTGACTGTGTCAATTTCATTCTGCTATGGAGTCCATACAGTAAATGTCATTTCAGATATTATACATTTCAGTTCTAAAATTTTCCATTTGATTTTTTCTATAGTTGTTATTTCTCAGCTGAGAATTTCTACCTTTCCATTTATTTCAAGTGTTTATCTCATAAAGCAGTTTTAATTGCTGCTTCTAATAATTTGGTATTTCTAACACCTGGATCATCTCAAGATCGGCACATATTATCTTTTCCTTTGAGAACTGGTCATATTTTAATGGTTCTTTACATGTCAAATAATTTAGACTGTATCTTGGACATTGCAAATGTTAATGCTGTGTATATGCTGGTTTCTGTTATAATCCTTTGAAGAATACTGATTTTTGTTTGTTTATTGTAGCAGGCATATAACCTAGTTAGATTCAGACTGCAATCTTTTTTAGAAACTTTCTTTTCCATCAACCTTATTTCCATTTTGCTTAAAAGTTGTGGAAGAACAGCTTAAGACCACACAGTGGTTAGTTACTGCTACCCATTCAGTGGCCTGAGCAATGGAAGCTGCAGACCAGTCTGCAGAGGCAGGCTAAACACACCAGTCTTCAGTAGGAAACTGCTGAACAGGCACAGGCCTTCAGACTAGTGTGCAACCTAGGTGAACAGCAATGAACTCGGGAGCTGGAGTAGTTCATCCAGAATTTCACTCTGAAATTCCTCCTCAGTCACTGTCTTTTCAACAGCAGCCCACTCTTCCTTTTCAGTCTTTTCAGGATCTCTGTGGAAGCAGAGATTAGGCATGATCTCTCAGGGGTGTTCATGGGAGATGGTACTATACCTGCAAAGAACTTCATGGTCCAGCATCCACCACATCAGAGCCACTGAGTGAGCTCCCTTGTTATTACATGGGATGGAGATGTCCACATAGCATGGAGGAGAGTCTATGTTATACAGAGAATGGTAGGCAGATTAACATAAAACGTCTCTGTGAGATGCTGGTAGTCAGCCCTGGGATTAGGGAATGTTCCATGAGTAAAGCAGTAGCTCCAGTGGTAACAGCAAACTTCAGCACAGTTCACTGCAGTATTCCTTGATGATATGACACATATTAACTGGGTTTTCAATGCACAATGGCACAAGCAATTAAGAGAAGCTTCTCCCAGGTTCTCTTCGGATTTATGATGCAGATGCCATCGCTATTCCATTTGGAAGTCAAGGTTGGTGCCACCTAAGTGGGTTCCTGCTGTAAGGAATTTAAGGACGTCTTCCTTCATTTGCAAGACATCAAGGGCTCCAGACATTGTGAAAGTTTCCCTTTATGTTACGATGGAAACCGAGAACAATGCTCTATGGACCCCACTGTTGGTGGCGTGGAAAAGCCAGACTGCAATTTCTGTTACACCCTCTACAGACAGTGGTTCCAATGGCAGTTCAGTTCTTAAAGCTTTTGCTATGCTGCTTTGTGTCTGCTCCCATTACGTATGCCACTCAGGGCATTAAGCTGAAACTTCAGTTTTTGTTTAAATCTTGATTTTCAACATTTTGGGTCTGTCTGGTGCATTCAACGCTTGGGGTGAGCTCAGGACATACACAGGTTCATACATACTCTTCTTCCCCTCACACTCTCTCTCCCACATTGTTTTAATTACCTGATTCCTCAAGCCAGAAAAACATTAAGGTGTTTCAGGGTTAATAGGGACTCTGTGTTACATGGTTTAATTCAAACTACTCTTATAATATGATGAGGCATGAGCTTAGCTGCTGTGACCAGAAAGACTGAAAATATCACCCCTCCAAAAGGTAGGATGAAGGTCAAAAAAGACCATCATTATATTGGACACATACACATACAAACTATCCAAAATCATTATGTTCAGATTTAATTTTTAAAAGTTCAATTCTGACCTAATAATAAACTATAATGGAGTTAGATACGTATGGAAAAAGACAACAAACTAAAGTCATCAATGCAGACTTACTAATGGTAAAACTAAAGTGTTTAGAAAGACAAAACTTGAGAAGTTACAACAAACTTCTATGAAATCATGAGTTATACATGGAGTGGGTTTCAGATACTCAGATTAACCAAAACCCCAAATATTCAGACCATAATGTATACCTGGAAGCTTACATTCAGAATAAATAAAATGAACTATTTTACATAGCAAATGTTAAGAGATGATAGAGACTAAAAAGCTTGGTAAATTAAGTTTTTGATAAATGTTTAAATTGTGGATAGCAATCCATAATAGTAAATTCAGAAAAAGAAAATGAAATTTTAGGTATGACTGCAACCTCTTTTGCATCATTAAAAACAATAGCATCTATCTGCACAACTTATCCCATTATTGGATGGACCATAGATATTACTCAATATGGCTTTTCTTAAAATAGCCTTATTCTTACTGTTTACTTTAAAATCCTGGGAGTCTTATGGACAAGCATTGGCCAGAAGCTAATAAAGTAACAGTAAGTCTCCATTTACTCTACTTCATGGGATCATGATAGAGTAGCAAAACAAATGTTTTTAAGACTAATTTAATTACTGTGATTCACATAAATAATACTACATACCAAATACATTAAAAATACAATAATGTCTATAAAACAAAAGTTTCCTTTTTAGGCTCATAACAAGTCTTGAAAAGATAAATTTCAATCAGTAAATAACTTGAAACACAGTCAATACTTTATCTGATAAAGTCATTTGTAATTATTTTTCCCCAAACTTTATTGAGAATATAACTGACAAATAAAGACTATAAGACAGTTAAAGTATACAACACGATGAGTCCATATACACACACACGCACACACACTGTGAAAGGATCTCCCCCGTTGAATTAACACATCCATCACCTCACATATTTACCTTTTTAGTGAGAGAACTTAAATTCTACTCTCTTAGCGAATTTCAATTATACAATACAGTGTTATCAACTATAAGACACCATGTTATATATTAGCTCCTCAGACTGTATTCATCATATAACTGGAAGTATATTTTAATTCTTGAATTGTTTTGAAGACCAAGGATATCAGAGAATTTCTGCATTTATATAATACATTGAAAGTAGTCCCTAAAACTGCTACACCAAAAATATAATCTAGATCCAAAGAGGGAAGAAAAAAAATCTAACATCATCACCTCATTTTCAGTGTACTTTGACTGGATGAGGTGCATCATCAAGAGTTTCTTTTGTTTGTTTTTTGTTTTTAAGTTAACAATTTAGCATTAAGAGATATTAAGTTTCATCATAAAATATAATGTCCATACAGCAAATATACCTACTCTTTCTGGAAAGCCATACACATGGGAGAACTAAATCCAAAGACAAGGCACGTCTGGGCCTCTGGGCTGTAGCCATGCTGGAGTAACATTTCCAGGCACTCTTCTTGCCCTCCAAACACTGCTGAGTAAACAGGGCTCACTTTGTCTGGCCCAGTGTCACAGATCCGGTTAGTAAGTGGTATCAGCAAGTCCAAGACTCTGCAAGTATACAAATATAGAAGCACTTAATGTTATCATATGCACATGAGTACAGGCAACATTTTGCAGCACCTATATTAAAAGTCACTCATTGATTGGTTTAATAAAAGTCTTTCTGTCTTCAGTTTAGCTTTTACCTAAATTCAATTATAACAGGCTATATGTTCCAAACTGTTAAGCTTATTATTGTTGCTTAATATAAAGGTCCTTAAATATATCTAAAACAGAATTAAATAATGTTCCTACAAGTAAATAGGTAACAGGTTGTCCTTCTATATTTTTTCACTAATTATCTACCTTAACACTGTCACCCTACTCCCCAAAATTCAAATTTTGTTAGATATTTTAGAATCCAATTAATCATTTAAAACCTCATTGTAGCAAATATGAACTTGTATCAAGAAATAAATGATTTTTCTTCTTAAAGTACAAACTAAAGTTTTATTTTTCTAACTAATAAAAGTTGTTGAAGTTGGTAACAGGAAATAGTATTTTCATCTGGAGGAAATCAGAATTTCTGCTAAAATATTTTTTTCTCTAAAAAATATGAGCCCTGTAAACAGATTTATAAAGAACTTAGTTGCTAAGTAGAAAAAGTTCGAAAGAAAATCATTAAAACAGAATTTCCTAGATTATTTGTAAACTTACCGCTAGCAGTCAGCTGCAGAGAAAAGACTAGTCTACTTTTCTAAAATTAAAAATAAAGCTAGGGATAATGAAAGCCAGGAAATATCATCTCGTTATGGAAAAAAAGAAAGGCAGGGCTACTCCAAAGTATATTTATAACATTCTTTCTTTTTGTTACTTTTCCTGATGTAATAAGGCCTAAAATGATAACAGTATTTAATGAAAACTTAAATTCACAGAACTTATCTTAGAAGTAGTCTATGGAGGAAATCATCAGTGACAAATAGAATTCTCAAAATGAGAATAAATGAGGACAAAATCCTAGAGGGTTGTGGTATCAATTTAAAGCTCAGAGTATAACTGTACCTAAGATTTATGTTTAAATAAACAGCCAATAATTAAGAATACCAAAATTTTTTAAAGCCTAAGATATTGTTAAAATTATACTCAATAAGGCAGAAACATGCTTAACAAGTATCTTTAAATTAAGGAAATAGTAAAATACCATGCCACCTAGTGGCATAATAACCAAATTGCAGTATCTGTTTTCCCACAATGTGAACATACTAATGACAATTTCGCAATTACTTTTATAGTTAAATAATACTACTGATAGTTATGAAGTTATTACTGTACAATTGTGACTCTAAAAACTTTAAACATATATTTTTAAAACTGTTCAATGCCAATTTATGTTATGATAAGCCGCTTATGTATTCTCATAGGTATAACCAGGTTACTAGCTTCCAAGATTCTTGTAACCCCCAATTTCAGGTAGTTTCAACTTTCTTTTAGTTTCTCTCTCCAGAAAATACCAAAAATTTCATGGGAATTTCTGGCTAAGGAAGAAAAGTAACAGAAGCAGGGAAAAGTATTGGTTTGGACTTGAGATTAGATATACAGAAGTCCAGTCAAAGGGTTCAAAATGGGAGAACCACCCAGACCACATGACAGAAAGACTAGAATCCAATAGGGGTCACAAACTCAAAGCCTCCTAGGGTGAAGAAGGTAACATAAACAGTTTGAATAAAGCCATTGGATAGTTAACTAAAGATGCCTGGGACAAAACTGGAGAACAGAAGAGGATGGCCATAGCTTGAGAAATCGGGGTGCAGGGGAAGACCTAACACTCTGAGAAAGCCCTCGGGTTGTCCTATTTCTAGCCACTGTGCCTGTCTTACACTAGGAAAGTACAAGACTAAGAGGAGCTGGGGACGGCACGGGGGACAGGTGTGGAGGAGGATCTAGTCATTCAGCAGACTGGTAGAGAAAGGAAAACCAAGGATTTTGTCTGTAGATAGTCTGGCCCAGAAGATTTACTACTTATCACTCTTTATGAGACTATTTTTATTTTCCATTCTAAACACTTACTTTGTATGTCCCATTTGTGCAGCTGCATGAATAGGTAACTGCCAATTGTCCTCATTACAGTAAAGGTCAGGATCTGCCCCATTGGACAGCAAAAGCTCCACACATTCTGTGTGGCCCTCTTGAGCAGCAATGAACAAGGGAGTAGCTTTGTCCAAGGCTTGACAATTGACATTTGCACCTAATACAAAATAAAACATTTAACAAATGTTTTTTTTTGGAGGGGGGGGAAAACATGATAATTAACATATATTTCAAAGCAGCTACCTTAAAAAGGGGTTTCGGAGTACAGATGACCCTGGAATAATACAGGTTTGAACTGTGCAGGTCCACTTACATGCGGATTTTTTTCCCATCTTGTAAACAGATTATGTAAGCTTACAGTATCGATAAATACAATACAGTACTATAAAAGTATTTTCTCATGATTTTCTTAGTAACATTTTCTTTTTTCTAGCTTATTTTATTGTGAGAATTCAGTATATAATACACAAAACATACAAAATATGTGTTAATCAACTGTTTATGTTACTGGTAAGGCTTCCAGTCAACAGAGGCTATTAGTAGTTAATTTGGTGGTGGGGGGAGTCAAAAGTTATACATGGATTCTGGACTGCACATGGGGTCAGACTGTTCAAGGGTGAACTGTATACCAGTTTTCCCCACGCAAGGGATACTATTGTATAAACATACTGATTTTCCTAACTTGCTGGTAATCCTTTAAATTGTTTTTGCTTTTATTTTAGCAAGAAAACAAGTTACTAATATTTTAGAATTCATTTTTAAGCTAAAACAAAAATCCTATTCAATGAAGACTTTATTTCATTCCAATCTCTCCTCCAGCAAGCACTATGTGATTCCAATAAGTAATCATTTAAAAGGTGAAAAACAAACAATCAACTATGAATAACATTCCCAAACATCACTGAAATATATTAAAAAATAAAAACCTAAATTATGAACCTTTGTAGATGTCACTCGCTAATCAATTCAGGCTGTTTTATGAAAAAAAAAATCCAGTATATATGATATACATGGGAGCTATGCCTTAAAACAAATATTGACTATACTCCATTACATCCTTATTCTTCATGACCATTGCATGATAGAGCCTACAATAAAAGTAAAAAGGTCTATTTAAATGGGTTTCTGAAATGATTTTTTTAAGCATAACTCTAATCAATTATTTAGATGCCAGTATATAAAGATGTGAAGAAGTTGAAAATGACCTCAATATCTGTGAAGGTTTTAAAAATAGCAGGCTTTTCTCATTGACAAATGATGTGTTAAGTATAAGAAGTATGGTGTTATTGCATTACCATAAGAATTTTCAAATTTCTGGATTAGATCTCAGTAGAAAAATCATCATTATTAAGGGGAAAAAAGACTATTTTTTTATTCTAAAGGATGTTCTATAAGTGCACTTGGAATAAACCAAAGCCATGAGAGGGGTAAAAACTATGTAAAACATAAATGGTAAGGGAGAGTTTATGGAACCTTCAGAAATTCCAACTGGCCATTCAACAAGTCTGGACAAGTAGACTATCAACACAAGGTGGATGCTTCACCTACTATCAGCCTCAGAAAGAAGTGGACACTATTACTGAGAAAAGACTAAATTAAGAAAAAAAAACTACTAAAAATTTTTTTAATTGCCTGATGGCAAAACTGGTAGACTTCCTCCTGCTTTTGACTGTCTATGCTTCATCAGGTTAGTAGCGCTCAAGAGCATGCACAGTGTTTGGAGGAATTTAAAAGCCCTTAATAACAAATGTTTCTGGTTATAGAAATGTCATACAGAGTAAGAATGCCACCTCAATACCATCTTCTCTGGCAATGCTAAATGCATATGGTTGTTACAGAGAAATCTTTAGCAGGTTTATCTTGCTATTAACATAAAGTAAAAAACATGCTTTGAAATAAACCCATTTAAATAATCATACAATAGATCAACACATACAATTCAAAGGCTTAATATACAAAATAGCTATCTAATTAATTAATTAAGCCTAAAATAGTCTTGTACCCTAGAAAGTTGGAACTGCCTAGGTCCCTATAAGAAAAAACAGCCCCATCATTCAACTTGCCAATAAATCCACTTTAGTGATAGATTGTGTTTCTCCTCAGATAAATTAGTAGCTGTGCCTTGCATTATGTTAGTAATAGACACTTAGTAACCAGGCTTATAAATCAAGTTGTATGTATTCTTATTTACCACTAACATAAAACCATAAATTTCACAACCTGATTTATATCTAGTCAATAATTATTCTCCCTAGGAAAATACAAAGTTAAAACTCATGATATTAACAGTGCAAAGGCTAATGGATTAATCTTACCCGATGAAATAAGAATGCTCAAGCTTTCTAGCTTGCCATACTGAGCTGCCACAAATAAAGGTGTGATTCCAAAGTCATCCTGGCATTCCTTGTTTGCTCCTTTTTTAAGAAGCAATTTTATGATCTCAGCATTTTCCTAAAGCACAGATTCATATTTTAAATAAGCAAAAACAAAGAAAATAGAAGGTATATCTTTTCTTATTACTGTGTTTTGTTTTGTTTTTATCCTCACTAAAGAAAAAACTTTTTTAAAAAGTATATTGTTGAATGAGAAGGAAGTATTAAACAATCAGATTATTCTATACCTTTAGATAGACCATTTAACATAAACAGATAAAACACTGATCTCTAGGAAATATAATCCTTATAAAATCCTGCAAATTTAGCTTGCTAGCTCAAGCACTGAGTTATCAGTTTCTAAACACACTGCTTTACTTAAAAATAAACCATTGCTCCTTATCAATTTATATCCCAAATATTCTGATGGTCTCTTAACTATGCTATCAACAATTGAAAAACTTAGATAATCCCTGCAGCCCAAAGCTGACGGAACTACTAGAGCAGTTGGCTTATTCAGAATGATCATTAGCATTTAGACTGCCTTTTCTGTACTGCACTAACCATCATAAATCATAGGCAAGTAGGAAGCAAAAACTGTATAGAACTGTCATTCTAAAGGGGTAAAACACAATTTATATGAAGATGAAATAATAAATTCAGAAGTTACCTGAAAAGTAGCCTGGTGCAAAGCATTCCATTCACACATAGAATGGGATCCATTAACGTTTGCTCCATGTCGAAGCAACAGCCTTAACACATCTATCTGTCCATTTTCAACAGCTGCAATATAGCAGTCAAAAAAATTATTGTCAGTAAGAAGGCATGTTTGTAGGACTGGACACTTTGGTGATGTTCTCATCACTTATTCACCTCGGAACTCACAATCCTGCGATCATTCCTATCAACAAATCAAAACATACACTCATGCAATGCCAAAACATTTATCACAATTGTCTGGCCCAAACTCATTAATATACACATTCTTTCTGTGTACATACAAATTATTTAAAAGATAGAGAGGAAATGGAAGCAAGAGGCAAACATTTATTCTCTCTGGTAATGGAGACAGTATGTTTCTATTTTAAGAATGCAATTGGGAGAATAGGGTGAATGAACAGGTTGGAAGAAAGTCTCAAAAAGATTTCTTATTGATACCATTTGATCACAAATGACAACAGTCACTGACAAACTGAAAGAGCAATACTGCAAGTTCTACATCTTAGATATTTTTTGCCATCATAAACAACAATCATTGTTAAAATAACATCCTTGATCAATCAATGAAAATACAGTAAAACCTTGCTTATTTGAACTAAAAGAGATTCCCGATAAATTAAAGAAGGCTGTTAAAGAATTGCATTTTACTTAACTATAGTAACTGAAACTAATGGCTCCTACTTTGGAAAAAAGTATGAAGGTTCCTCAAAAAGAAATAAGAATAAAGCTACCATATGACCCAGTAGTCCCTCTTCTGGGTATCTACCCAAAAATAAGGATATATGTACCCCTATGTTCACTGCAGCATTATATACGGTAAGCCAAGGCATGGAAACAACCTAAGTATCATTCAATGGATGACTGAATAAAGATGTGGTATATATACACAATGGAACACTACTTAGCCATGAGAAAGGATGAAATACTGCCATTTGTGACAACATGGATGGATCCTGGAAAATAAGTCAGAGAGAAAAGAACAAGAACCATAAAATTTCACTCATATGTGGGATATAAAACAGAAAGCAACAAATGAACAAACAAAACAAACAAACTCATAGACACAGACAATAGAAGCGTGGTTACCAAAGGGGAAAGGGAATAAAGGGAGGATAAAGAAGGTAAAAGAGCCCAAATTCATGGTGACAGAGGAAGGTTAGACTTTAGGTGATGAACACACATGAAACATAGATGATGTATTATAGAAATGTACACTTGAAACTTAAACAATGTTACTAATCAATATCACTCCCAACAAACTTAATTTTTTTAAAAAAAATAAAATAATGGCTTCCAAATCGCTGCTAAACTAAATCCTTTGAAGAAATAGTTTGAACACCTATAGATAGCTAAAAATCATGTGCCTTTTTACTAATTTCATCAAATCATTCTACTTTCTTTTATATATCTAATTTAATGTTAGCACAAGATACGTGTTGTCTAATATCATGTACATATAACAGTTTATAAATCCTACCTAGTGAGGATGAACATAGGTATAATGTCATTAAGTTGATAGAACAAATACATAGGGCTAAGCATCTTCAGAATGTTAGCTACCACAAAACTATGCTACGAAGGTGGCAGTAACTCTGGAGGAGTTAATGAAAAAAACAGAAAGCCAGAAGAGAGCTATAAAGTACTTAATAAAATAAGTAGACACATACACTTACACATAGACCATTAGCAAATAAGGTATACTGTGAATGTTGCAGGTGTACAGCAATTACAATGACTTCTTAGAATTGTAAGTTTGGGGAAATATCAGCATCTATAAGAAGCGAGAGAGCAGAGATGTACATAAGGTCTGACTCATGTGTTTGGTAACAGGAAAGGAGGTTTGGAAAATAAATGAGATTTTTTAATTTCATTTCAAACACATGGCTATTCCATATCTCCTCCTATAGTAGGAGGCAAGAAGTGAGAATCAACAAACTCTCAGTCAAAAACTAGAAAGGCATTTAGATATCTGGGCCACATCTGAAAACGTTAATATAGATGAAACAATGAGGAAGATAAAAATACTTAAAAGTATAAAACAAATAGCAAATGGACTCATTATTATTGAAGACAATAACATGCCATTGACATTCTATTAATTTTGAATATTGAATTTATACCAAAGCTATTTCCCCCATCAGGATTATAAGAAGTTCTTTAATCAAGAATTCTCTTACTCTGGGAAATTTCAAAAATTTAACCATCATAGTTGAAATAATATCACTGTAGTAGAAGTTTAACATGACTTATTTCTTATTTCTAAGTTAATTCAAGGACA